TGATCATTTTTCTGTCTTTCTTTCATGTGAGCGCAAACATGATGGTGGAAAAGCAGAGGAAGCAAGAGATTCTTTGGCAAGCATGGGAGCAATGGAAGCTTAGTCATCCTTAGGCTTAGATTTTTTCTTTGTAATTTAGAGAGAAATGCTCAAACAATTGTACTAATTCATTTTTTTTAAAATATAATAAGTTGTAAAACTTAAAGCATTTAAATAATAAATTGTATTGTAGCAATTTTTTGAAATAAATGAAAAAGTCTTTATGAGATAATCTGATGTTCAATAAAATCCATTACTGTTAGTAACTTGTAATTCTCTCTTTGTGTCTTCACTGATTCTTTAAGATTCCTGATTAAGATAACTGAAACTGCATTCCAATAATTTCAATCAAGATAACTTAAATTCCAATTAACCCAATAACTCTGTAATCTTGTAACCTTGCAACTGTATTCCAATCAAAACACGCACTTCGTATTCCAATAAACAGGCAAATGCTTATTCCATAAACAAGCAAATTAACTGGTTAACCTGGATCAAATAAACATTGCCCTTTTCCAATAAATTTGAGAGAGCGTGAAAACATGTAAAAATCAATTGAATTTCTGAGAACTCAATTTCTTCTGAGAAATGCGAGAAAAACCCTAATTCCTGATTTACTGCCATAGGAGAAAATCTGTTTGATCGATTCCTGAGCCAGTCTTGAATATTTGAGAAACCCTAGGGTTGTGCTTTCTGTAAAAAAAATGGGAGGGAAAATTTTGGGGTACAACAGTCCTCTATAAGTTCATTAGAAGTATGTTTAAAGTGCTCAACCACCCTACCTTGCCTTGAAGTCATGTTTGTCCATGTTGCTTCAAAAACAAGTCAAAATCCACAAACATGTGATTTTGTACTTCTGACTTATCCAAGCCTCTAAACCTCTTCTCTATAAATATAGACACCATACCCTACCCTATCCTACCCCTACTCTACTCTACTCTACTCTACTCTACTCTACTCTACTCTACTCTACTCTACTCTACCCTACTCTACCCTACCCTAATCTACGCTACGCTACCCTACCCTACCCTACCCCTAACCCTAACCCTACCCTACCCCTACTCTACCCTACTCTACCCTACCCTACTCTACGCTACTCTACCCTACTATACCCTACACTACTCTACCCTATCCTACTATACTCTACTATACTATACTCTACTCTACTCTACTCTACTCTACTCTACTCTACTTTACTCTACTCTACTTTACTCTACTCTACTCTACTTTACTCTACTATACTCTACCATACCATACCCTACCCTACCCTACCCTACTATACTCTACTCTACTATACTCTACCCTACACTACCCAACTCTATGCTACTCTACCCTACCCTACCCTACCATACTCTACTATGCTTTACCTTACCCTACTTTATCCTACTCTACCCTACTCTACCCTACTCTACTCTACCCTACCTTACTCTACCCTACTCAACTCTACTCTACTCTACCCTACCCCTACCCCCACCCCTACCAACCCTACCCTACTCTACTCTACTCTACTCTACCCTACCCTACTCTACCCTACCCTACTCTACCCTACTCTATCCTACTCTACTCTGCTCTACTCTACACTACCCTACCCTACCCTACTTTACGCTACTCTACTTTACTCTACTCTACTTTATTCTACTCTACCCTACTCTACTCTACTCTACTCTACTCTACTCTACTCTACTATACTCAACTCAACTTAACTCTACTCTACTTTACTCTACTCTATGCTACCCTACCCTACTCTACTCTACTCTACTCTACACTACTCTACTCTACTCTACCCTACTCTATCCTACCCTACCCTACCCTACCCTACTATACGCTACGCTATGCTACGCTACCCTACCCCTAACACTAACTCTACCCTACCCTACCCTATCCTACCCTACCCTACTCTACTCTACCTTACCCCTACTCTACCCTACCCTACCCTACTCTATGCTACTCTACCCTACTCTACCCTACCCTACTCTACCCTACTCTACCCTACCATACTCTACGCTACTCTACCCTACTCTACCCTACTCTACCCTACTATACCCTACCCTACTCTACCCTACCCTACTCTACTCTACTTTACTATACTCTACTCTACTCTACTTTACTCTACCTTACTCTACTCTACTCTACTATACTATACCCTACCCTACCCTACCCTACTGTACTCTACTATACTTTATCCTACCCTACCCTACTCTACACTACTCTACCCTACCCTACCCTACCCTACTCTACTATGCTCTACCTTACCCTACTCTACCCTACTCTACCATACTCTACTCTACCCTACCCTACTCTACCCTACTCAACTCTACTCTACTCTACCCTACCCTACCCCTACCCCCACCCCTACCCTACCCTACCCTACTCTACTCTACTCTACCCTACCCTATCCTACTCTACTCTACCCTACCCTACCCTACTCTACCCCACTCTACCCTACTCTACTATACTCTACTCTACCCTACCCTACCCTACTTTACGCTACTCTACTCTACTCTACTCTACTCTACTCTACGCTACTCTACCCTACTCTACTCTACTCTACTCTACTCTACCCTACTCTACTTTACTCAACTCTACTCTACTCTACTCTACTCTACTCTACTCTACGCTACCCTACCCTACTCTACTCTACGCTACTCTACTCTACCCTACCCTACTCTACTCTATGCTACTCTACTCTACGCTACGCTAGCCTACCATACCCTACCCTAACCCTACCCTACCCTACCCTATCCTACCCTACCCTACTCTACTCTACTATACTCTACTCTACTCTACTCTACTCTACTCTACTCTACTCTACTCTACTCTACTCTACTCTACTCTACTCTACTCTACTCTACTCTACTCTACTCTACTCTACTCTACTCTACTCTACTCTATACTACCCTACCCTACCCTACCCTACTATACCCTACCCTACCCTACTCTACCCTACCCAACTCTACCCTACTTTACCCTACCCTACCCTACCTTACTCTACTCTACCCTACCCTACTCTACCCTACCCTACTTTACCCTAACGCTTCGAACGAGGATTCAAATGGAGTTACAGTTCAAAAGTTATGAATTTTTGAAATTTCTAAAAAAATCTGTCAACTTCAGGAAATCGTTTTCTCCAATATTGAAAATCGATTTTCACACTGTGAGAGTGAAATTTTGTTGTTTTAAGTACGAAAACCAGTATTTTCAACCTAAAAATCCAACATTTGAAATCAACATCATATTCTTCAATTCAATAACTCACACATACGTATTACACAATATTTTTATTAATTCTATAATACCAATTTCACCAATTTAAATGCATTTGTACCAACGATTCATCATCCAAACCTAACAATTTTAAAACCCATAAAATTTAAGATTTTCATCCTAAACATATAACTAATTATTAAAGTTGGAGTGTTTCAATTATAAAAAGAGGAAAGCGAAATCCAAGAAACCACTATAAGTGTGCGGAAGAATGTTCGAAGAAGGAAGACTAAGTCTTCGTAACCAAGAAAGTTTGAAAGCTAGTATTATATAGCAGTATGCATGCACTGGCAGCACTCATATATTTTAGTTTTCTTATTAAAAATTATATTTTGTTCTACATTTGAAAAAGAACTTGCTCATGAACAATCACATGAAAAATGATACAATGTTATGAAAACAACTTGTTGGGATGGTTTGCAGTAGCATATATTTGAAACATTATAGTCTCACATCAAAATTTTATGTACAAATGAAAATATTTATAAATAACTATTATAAATCTTCATTGATTTAAAATAATTATAAATAAAAATTATTAATTTAAGAAAATGTAAAATAAATTAATATAATATTAAAAAACGTAAAAAAATATAATATATAAAATAAAAGAATTACAGGTGGCGTTTAAAAATAAACTGTCAATTCATTAAAATTAAATAGGTATAAACACTCTATAATGTTCTTTTATAAATTTAAAAACACATAATACAAAAGGATAAAACAGTAATCAACTAAATATATATTTTAAATCCACGTGATATTGAATTTTAATTTTTTTTTTAATTTAATAAAAATTCATTTATGTAACCATTCATTTTAAATCTTGATTTTGAAAGATTTCTTTTTAATTTGATAAAAATTTATTTATGTGATTATTCATTTTAAATCTTGATTTTAAAAGATTTATTGATTTAGTAAAATTTAAAAAAATCTTATGATAATTCAAAATAATTTATCATGTAAGAATCTTTTAACCTCTTGAAAAGACATCACTACCCATCCTTACTTATTTTATGACTATTAAATATTTTGGTTTTTTGGTCTTTCTATAACGAATTGTCCAATTATAGTATTAAAGAATTGGATCCTTTTTGTTATATCTCTCTTTCACATAAATTCATATCATTTTTACTCTCTTTTTCTCTTTCTTCCTTTTGACGACCTTTCTTTCTCTGCAGTCTCATCTTTCCTTACAAATTCCTAACCCTAAACCTTCTTATTTCTTCTCCTTCTACACGCCTTATGCTTCCTTCTTCCTTCCGTTCTTCCTCTTCTTCACACTGAAAAATGGAAAGATATGGAATTTGAATTTACCGGCGACGGAATGTGATAAGGTGGCGGTGTGGTAGCGACGACTTGAAGAGGACACGCGGATGCGGTGTTAAGCAATTTGCGTGACAACTTTGGAGCACGGTGGATTCGAAGATCATTCTCTGTTCGTCTCTCTTAAGTTTTTGATAAAAAGAACTATTTTCCAATGTCTGATTATGTTCTTGTTTTTTCAATTTCGCAGATTTCCGACATTGGAGGTATTGGTCAAAGGTTGTACCATGGAAGAGGTATTGTCGAAACGGAACATGAAAGTTTCATCATCAAGACTGAAGTGTTTTTTTTTGTGGTATCTTCATACGAGTTTTTGAACGTTTGTATCTTTATCTTGATCTTTATAGTGAAAGTGTTGGATTCAGGTGATTATGGGGGTCGCCACTGCTGTTGAAACTTTCACAGGGTAAGCTCATTTTTGGTACTTTTCACATTGGATTTTAAATAAGCTCATAAATGTAAAATAGTTGTTATTTCATTTTGGGATTTTTTTTAATGATTATATTAATAAAAATGACTTCTGGTGGTTTCTCTTTCTTCAGTTATCAGATTGGAAGAACACGGATGGCCCTTCGGTTCTTGAATGTGGAAATTTTCTAGGGTCTTCTATTCCAATGGAAAATAACATACAACATAGCCATATAGAGTATAGATCAAGGAGTCATAGTGATACGTTTAAAGTAGGCTTGGGAAACTTGGAAGTTATTTACTCTAGGAAGGACGCGAAACTTACTCAATATATGAACAAAAAAAGGAAGGTATATGATTTGGAAATTGGATGACATATAAAACATTGTTAGTGCTGCTAAACATTGTATGAAGAAATTATCTGCAAAATTAAAATTCTTGTAATTAGGTACCCTGTGATTATAGCTTTTATTTTTATGCTGCTGATGCAAATCAGCGAATTTCGGTTGTGCATTGAGTAGATGTTTATTTTATGTTCATCTTCATGTACTCATATAAGGAAATACAGTACTTTTGATTAATAGATGATTCAATCTGCAGGTGAATGTTGTGAAAGGCATTTGAAAGGCATCTGCAGGTGAATTTTCGCGCTTTATCGTAAGGATCTGGACGAGACCCTTATGTCTTCATATTTTAGTAGGATTCAAACAAGATAAGAATAGGGTTATATGAGACCCTTATGTCTTCATATCTTAGTAGGATTGAAACTTGTCCTTATCCTGCTTTTTGGGTTAGTGAATTAATCTTCTGTCAGGTTGCAGTGCAACTTCTCACTTCCAAAACCGGTTTTAGGTACCATATATTGAATTATGACATTTAAGGATATTGGTTTGCAACATCAGCAGCAGCACCTACAATCAACTCTGGTGGTGATTGTCCTAACTCATCGTCATTGGTTTACGGGAACTGTGAATTAATTCAGCCTTACCAAGGTCTTCAACCTGAGCTTTTCTTCAAGATGTCACATGAGATCTATAACTATGGAGAACAGTATGAATCTTACTTGTATCAGCGATATTTCTTCGTCGTGTGTTCATTGTTATTCTTACTTTTATAGGGTGGCAAACAAGTTCTTGACACCAATTTTTATAAGCAAAGCAATGTGTAGGGAGGGAGTATGTGCTTTATTCTGCATCTTCTAGGTGCATAATAGGATTCCCTTTCTATCCAATGTAGTCTAATTGGGTATGTTGTTAACACTGTAATTGAAGATGTAACAAATTAATACTGTGAGATTGAGTGAATTTTCTATTTTCTGTGCCATATGTAATTTACTGATTGAATGTTAACTCTCGATCTAAAAGACTGCACCTTTGGCGTTAAATTTATGTTTCCTTGAGCTTACATGAAGTTGATTATTTTTCCTAAATCAATTGAATTCGGACCAAAACATGAGATGGAGTTTTGGTCAAAATTGATTTATTTTGATCGATATTATTGGGACTCTATTGTTCTGGTGTATGAATCCAGCAAAGAAGTATGAACCTCTTATCATGTCAGCCAGAGGCCTAGAGCATTAATTCCCAAAACATTTCATGACATTAGATCTTTTTGTGATATTTCCAATATTTTAAAACTTAAAAAAAAATTTATTTGATTGCTTGCCAATATTTCGAGCTTTCTCATCTAGGCTCTGTCACATTGCCTAAGTTGTGAATAATGCAGAGAGATAATGCAAATTACATGTTATGAGAAGAAGAATAACAGGTATGTGACGGGCTGCTTCAGGTCATTTAGAATCTAAAGTATCATTTTGAATGTTGTAAATCTTTTACATTTATGAACTTATTTTTGTCATTGATTTACTGCAGTCTTATTGGTAGTTTCGTCTTATTTTTGTCGCGGTGAATGAGCGATTTGTTTATGCCTACTGCTCTTTCTGTAGGCTGGTAACATGTTCAATTTGGTGTTGTCAACAAAGTCTCTGACTTGATATCGCATGAATCACAATGTCGTCATTGCCACCGAAAAATAAGTTACTTTTATATGTTCTATTGGTTGATCGTAAGTGAATATTGAATATTTATGAGTTTTGTGTCCAGGTTATTTCGGAGAACTTTCTGAACATGGACGGCATTAAGGGCAACAGAGTTCATCAGAAATGGAATCATGGTACTCACATGTTGACAACTCTATTTTTTTTGTGATATCTTCTTGTGTTAATTGCTAGACAGGTTTTGTACATGGACTGTTTTAAAAGAAAGGCTTTACAATGAAGAAATGGAAGATATCTTGATGAAGTTGAACCGATGGGACCTGACACAGAGTTGATGAGATGAGAATGTTTGAGTTACTACATGTACTAAAGTTATATTCCCTCATGTGTCAATGCTTTTGCCATGATTGGCTTGAATTGTTCATACTGCTTTGGATTTTTGAAACCTTAACAACTTGAATGTTAATTGAAATCTCTTTGTACCAAAACGAAATTTGTAACTTCAAACTTGAATGCCATTTGGAATTTGGTCTTTGTAGCCAATATGAATGCAACTTTGTAGTAGTTCCTGAAGATGGCAATTGTATAAATGTCTTCTGCCAGAGGAGTTGCAACGCTGCCCATATTCGAAGATTGGTCGGGAAACCGGGTGCAAGTATTGCCTTGGAACAGGTATGTTTCGAATCTTCACAGATTGTCACTCTCTTGATGTTATCTACATAGATTATCACTCTCCATGTGTTCTTCGTAGATTGTCACTCTCTTAAAGTTATCTATTGCTTTTCCATGAACTAATTTTACATTTACTCTTCTTGCACATGTCATTGGCGTTGATTTTTCTTATAAGTCTTCTGGTCTCTCATATTACTCCTTGCTATTGTAACTTACACATACCTGTAACTTACACTTACCGGCGACGGAATGTGATAAGGTGGCGGTGTGGTAGCGACGACTTGAAGAGGACACGCGGATGCGGTGTTAAGCAATTTGCGTGACAACTTTGGAGCACGGTGGATTCGAAGATCATTCTCTGTTCGTCTCTCTTAAGTTTTTGATAAAAAGAACTATTTTCCAATGTCTGATTATGTTCTTGTTTTTTCAATTTCGCAGATTTCCGACATTGGAGGTATTGGTCAAAGGTTGTACCATGGAAGAGGTATTGTCGAAACGGAACATGAAAGTTTCATCATCAAGACTGAAGTGTTTTTTTTTGTGGTATCTTCATACGAGTTTTTGAACGTTTGTATCTTTATCTTGATCTTTATAGTGAAAGTGTTGGATTCAGGTGATTATGGGGTCGCCGCTGCTGTTGAAACTTTCACAGGGTAAGCTCATATTTGGTACTTTTCACATTGGATGGTGATGCTGTTGATGTTAAAACATATGCGAGCCTTTACCAATGTAAGCTCCGTTTCGGTACATTTCAAAGTCATTACATGCTATTGAGTTTTTAATGTTTTGGTAAAGTTGTTTCCTTTTCAAAATGCAATTTGTTGAGCATAACTCATGTTAGGAAATAAAATAAATACAAATTTTGAACATGAAAAAGATTATTGCTGTAAAAAATTATTGGGTTTGGTTTCTCGAGTTCGATTGCGGGGCGATAATATGGCTGAGGTTGTTGTTACAGAATATCCGAAGGAGTTTAATTTGAGGACCACAATAAAGTTGAAACGCCGGTTTCTTAAAGTACCGAAATATCATTCTCCTTTAAGCTTTAACGGCGACGTTTCTTCTTCTCCATCTTCTGTTCGACCTTTGACTTTCTCTAAACTCTCGAATTCAATCTTTGTCTTCGCTTATACTCTGAATCGATTAAAAAAATGGAACCTAAAGGCTCCAAGGAGGGAGAGTGCTACTGGAGAAATGTCTTAAGATTCATCCCCGAATTATAGAAGATGCGACAAAAGGTGAAAGAGATCGAAATCGTACCGACCGGAGAAAGTCAGGCGCTTGATTCACGCTGTCGATGAGAAGAGAATTCCCAAGTTAAATCCAGGTACCGCTTTAATATCATGCTTCTTTTATTTCATTCTTCATCTCTTCTTCTTTTGCTTTTTGTATTGTTGCGATTTTGTGCAATCTGAAATTTTTTGTGTGATGTGATGACGATTCACGGTTGAATTGGGATGAAGTTGTTGATGCAGCGTTGATAGTGAAGATTGAAGATGTTGTTGCAGTATCTTAAAGAACATGAATGTTGCGGGAAGATTGTATAGAGAGTGAATATTGCCACAAATTTAAGGCTCGGTTCTGAGAAGATGAAGGTTCCAGATGCTTGAAGCCTAGATTTCAGAGAGATTTTCTTGAGAGGTTTTCTTGGTGTTGAATAATTGTAATGAATCACTTTTGAGATTTTTTTGTGTTTGTGTGATTCTTCTAGAAGAATTGAACAAGTGATGAAGATGATGGAAGAGGGAGCAGAGAAAGGCTGTTGAAGATTTTGGTGATTCTTCTGTGTGTTATAGAATGGTGAAAATGAAGCAGAGAATCCAAAGAGTGCCGAGGAGAATGGTGAGTTTTTTTTCTGATTCTAATTTTCTGATAAATTCGTGAAATGAATCTGGTTTTTCTTGTGAAAGCGTTGGGTCGTATCTGCTCCCAGTGGCTGAATCTGAAATCCTGTTATATAGTGATAGAGTTTGTTATAGAATTAGTTAGAGGGTTAGAAATTTGTTAGGATATGAGCTGGTAATGGAAGATTCAGTTGGAAATCGGTTATATGTTAGTGAGTTGGTTAGGGGTTAGAAAAAGTTAGTTATGTTGTTGCGAAATTCTGTTAGTTCTGTTTAATGCTGTAAACAATTTTCTAATTTAATTTCTATTTCTGATTTTTTTTTTGTTGTTTCCTGAGTTGAAATGCTTGATTTAATTTCTCTTATTTGCCTTTTCATCACATTTTCCTGTTATGTGATGTACGTAGCGGTACGATTTATGTTTTGGATATTGGTTTATGTTGTGAACCGAACTAGTTTAGCGTAGGTTAATTATGCAGCAAATCATTGTTCAAACCGATTCCTGTAGGTTTATCTTCTGACTGGTTTTTTCATGATTATGTGCAGGACCGTTTAGATGTTTGGATATGGGACTTACTTCACGAAAACTTAATGCAGCAACCCTGGATCTGTTAAAGTTCTGATTATGCAGGTTTATGTGTTTGGCATAGCCTTGATGCAAGGTTTTGGAGACAAATAGAGGCTCGGTGAAGTAAGCTCGTATTTGGTACTTTTCACATTGGATGGTGATGCTGTTGATGTTAAAACATATGCGAGCCTTTACCAATGTAAGCTCCGTTTCGGTACATTTCAAAGTCATTACATGCTATTGAGTTTTTAATTTTTTGGTAAAGTTATTTCCTTTTCAAAATGCAATTTGTCGAACATAACTCATGTTAGGAAATAAAATAAATAAAAATTTTGAAGATGAAAAAGATTATTGCTGTAAAAAATTATTGGGTTTGGTTTCTCGAGTTCGATTGCGGGGCGATAATGTGGCTGACGTTGCTGTTACAGAATATCCGAAGGAGTTTAATTTGAGGACCGCAATAAAGTTGAAACGCCGGTTTCTTAAGGTTTGAATTGAATATTTCATTGTTCGTTTGAGGACCGTGATATTATTTTGTTGCACGTAATTATTATTACCATAATATTTTATAAACTCTTTTATTGATGCATGTGTACTGTTCGATGAAATGCCACTGAGGAATAATGTCACGTGGACGGGCTGCTTCAGGTCATTTAGAATCAAAAGTATCGTTTTGAATGTTGTAAATATTTTACATTTATGAACTTATTTTAGTCATTGATTTACTGCAGTCTTATTGGTAGTTTCGTCTTATTTTTGTCGCGGTGAATGAGCGATTTGTTTATGCCTACTGCTCTTTCTGTAGGCTGGTGACATGTTCAATTTGGTGTTGTCAACAAAGTCTCTTACTTGATATCGCATGAATCACAATGTCGTCACTGCCACCGAAAAATAAGTTACTTTTATATGTTCTATTGGTTGATCGTAAGTGAATATTGAATATTTATGAGTTTTGTGTCCAGGTTATTTCGGAGAACTTTCTGAACATGGACGGCATTAGGGGCAACAGAGTTCATCAGAAATGGAGTCATGTTACTCACATGTTGACAACTCTATTTTTTTGTGATATTTTCTTGTGTTAATTGCTAGACAGGTTTTGTACATGGACTGTGTTAAAAGAAAGGCTTTACAATGAAGAAATGGAAGATATCTTGATGAAGTTGAACCGATGGGACCTGACATAGAGATGATGAGATGGGAATGTTTGAGTTACCACATGTACTAAAGTTATATAACAACTTGAATGTTACTTGAAATCTCTTTGTACCAAAACGAAATTTGTAACTTCAAACTTGAATGCCATTTGGAATTTGGTCTTTGTAGCCAATATGAATGCAACTTTGTAGTAGTTCCTGAAGATGGCAATTGTATAAATGTCTTCTGCCAGAGGAGTTGCAACGCTGCCCATATTCGAAGATTGGTCGGGAAACCGGGTGCAAGTATTGCCTTGGAACAGGTATGTTTCGAATCTTCACAGATTGTCACTCTCTTGATGTTATCTACATAGATTATCACTCTCCATGTGTTCTTCGTATCTATTGCTTTTCCATGAACTAATTTTACATTTACTCTTCTTGCACATGTCATTGGCGTTGATTTTTCTTATAAGTCTTCTGGTCTCTCATATTACTCCTTGCTATTGTAACTTACACATACCTGTAAGTTTGACATGATATTTGATTATCATATAGTTTTTCATAAGCTTTTTTTCTTGCAACTTTATGCACTTATAGTTTTTAGTTTATGTTCCATTTTCATACATGCACATCATTGCACTTGTACGGTCTGATTTTCTCTTACTAACTAAAATTGTTTACTTGTTGTTTTATTATAGTGTACTAAAATTGTTTACCTGTTGTTTTATTATAGTGTACTAAAATTGTTTACTTGTTGTTTTATTATAGTGTACTGGGATGACACATTGAGAATAACTGGCCTTATAATCATGTCGGCTGGAAACCTGGAATCGTCAACTAAAGATTAAAACTACAGATTTAGAAAAGCAAAAATATTACCTAACCATTCCAACAGCCACTTTATTATTTAACCGGGGGTTTGGCATAGTCGGCATGTCAGTCCACTTTATTATTTATATAATATAGTTAGAAAATTTTATTATTTTGAGACTTCAAATAACCATCCATTCCAACAGCCTCCCATCACAGGAGTGTCATTGAGAATATAAAGTCACTCTTATCTCATTTATAAATATTTTCTTATATTGGAACCGGCTATTTATACGAATTTAATTTATTCAAGTATGTTGATTAATTTATTACCAATTGGTTGGATTTGCGATGTATGATTCTCAAGTACAAATTGGTGCCACTCCATAGTACATGGCTAATTTTTACATGGTAAGTGGTTTTCTTTTTAATTAAATTGGTTTTTGAAATCTCATGTTTTAGCCACATCTTTTTAATCATATTTCTACTCTCAGTGCATGTCCACATCAGAATTCGTACGAATGCACGAATGCACGAATTTCCCATTAGTAATACAATATGAGTACTAATTAAACAATTAATATATATATTAAAAAAATATATAATATAATTTTATTTAAATAAAAAATAATAAAATTTGCTTAGAATTCAAAAAAATATTATATTTTATAATCGTTATCAATAAATATTAAACTTTATTTTTAAAGAAAGAATATATATTTTTCTAAAATTTAAGCAAATTTTACTATTTTTTAATTAATTAAAAACTTAAGTAAATTTTATATTTTGAAAAAATTCATACGTGTGTATTTTCATTTTAAATTTTGTGCGTATTAAAGATAGCAAAATTAATGTTCATAAGTTTTTTCCCTTTCTAACACGAAACCTTTTTATTATAAAATGTAGTTTGCTCTACTCTATACCATTTTACATATCCAGTTTTCCATCTTCTTTCATAAAAATATTTGTGTTGACCTCATCCAAACTTTTTTTTTATGTTGTAATTATTTCTATTCAATCGGTTTATATTCAGTGATTTTTCTAACTATGTTTTAGATTTGTTTCAACTTAGAGTAGTGTAGTGTAGGGTAGGGTAGGGTAGCGTAGAGTAGAGTAGAGTAGAGTAGGGTAGGGTAGGGTATAGTAGAGTAGAGTAGAGTATAGTATAGTAGAGTAGAGTAGAGTAGAGTAGAGTAGAGTAGAGTTGAGTAGAGTAGAGTATGGTAGGGTAGGGTAGAGTAGGGTAGGGTAGGGGTGGGGTAGGGTAGGGTGGGGTGGGGTAGGGTGGGGTAGAGTGGGGTAGGGTGGGGTAGAGTGGGGTATGGTAGAGTAGCGTAGGGTAGAGTAGCGTAGGGTAGGATAGGGTAAGGTAGGGTAGGGTAGGGTAGGATAGAGTAGGATAGAGTAGGGGTATGGTAGAGTAGGGTAAGGTAGGGTGGGGTAGAGGGTATGGTAGGGTAGAGTAGAGTAGTGTAGGGTAGCGTAGGGTAGAGTAGGGTAGAGTAGGGTATGTTAGAGTAGAGTAGGGTAGGGTAGAGTAGAGTAGGGTAGGGTAGGGTAGGGTAGAGTAGAATAGAGTAAAGTAGAGTATGATAGGGTAGAGTAGGATATGGTAGAGTAGGATAGACTAGAGAAGGGTAGAGTAGGAGTAGGGGTAGGAGTAGGGGTAGAGTAGAGTAGGGTAGGGTATGGTAGAGTAGGTTAGCGTAAGGTAGAGTAGGGTAGGAGTAGAGTAAAGTAGGGTAGGGTAGGGTAGGGTAGAGTATGGTAGGGTGGGGGAGGATAAAGTAGAGTAGGGTAGGGCTAGGATAGGGTAGGGTGGGGTAGGTTAGGGTAAGGGTGGGGTAGGTTAGGGTAGGGTATGGGATATGGGTAAGGGTGGGGTAGGGTAGGGTAGGGGTGGGGTAGGGGTATGGTAGGGGTGGGGTAGAGGTAGGGTAGGGGTGGGATATTGGTAGGGTAGGTTAGGGTAGAGGTAGGATAGGGGTAGGGGATAGGTTAGGGTAGGGGTGGGGTAGAGGTAGGGTAGGGTAGGGGTAGGGGATAGGGGTAGGGGTGCGGTAGGGGTAGGGTAGGGTAGGGGTAGGGGTATGGGGTATGGGTTGGGTAGGTTAGGTTAGGGTAGGGGTAGGGGATATGGGTAGGGTAGAGGTAGGGTAGGGTAGGGTAGGGGTAGGGGTGGGGTAGGGGTAGGGTAAGGTAGTGTACGGGGTAGGGGATAAGGGTAGAGGGTAGGGGTAGGGTAAGGTAGGGTTAGGGTAGGTTAAGGTAGAGTAGGGTAGGGTAGGGTAGGGTAGAGTAGCGTAGCGTAGGGTATGGTAGAGTAGGATATAATAGGGTAGGGTAGGGTAGGGTAGAGTAGAGTAGAGTAGGATAGGTAGGGGTAGGGTAGGTTATGGTAGGGGATAGGGGTGGGGTATGGGTTGGGTAGGTTAGGGTAGGGGTAGGGAATATGGGTAGGGTAGAGGTAGGGTAGGGTAGGGGTAGGGGTGGAGTAGGGGTAGGGTAAGGTAGTGTACGTGGTAGGGGTAGGGTAAGGTAGGGTTAGGGTAGGTTAAGGTAGAGTAGGGTAGGGTAGGGTAGAGTAGCGTAGCGTAGGTTATGGTTGAGTAGGATATAATAGGGTAGGGTAGGGTAGGGTAGAGTAGAGTAGAGTAGGATAGAGTAGGGTAGAGTAGAGTATAGTAGAGTTGGGTAGGGTAGAGTAGCGTAGGGTAGAGTATGGTAGAGTAGGGTAGAGTAGGGTAGGGTATAATAGGGTAGGGTATAATAGAGTAGGGTAGGATAGAGTAGAGTAGAGTAGAGTATGGTAGCGTAGAGTAGGGTATAAAGTAGGGTAGAGTAGAGTAGAGTAGGGTAAGGCATAGTAGGGTAGGGTATGGTAGAGTAGAGTATGGTAGGGTATGGTAGAGTAGGTTAGGGTAGCATAGCGTAAGGTAGGGTAGAGTAGAGTAGGGTAGAGTAGAGTAGAGTAGGATATGATAGAGTAGAGTTGAGTAGGATAGGATAGAGTAGGGTGGGGTAGAGTAGGATGGGGTAGAGTAGGGTAGGGTAGGGTAGAGTAGAGTAGAGTAGGGTAGGATAAGATAGAGTAGGGTATGGTAGGGTAGAGTAGAGTATAGTAGGGTAGGGTATGGTAGGGTAGAGTAGAGTAGGGTAGGATAGAGTAGAGTTGAGTAGGGTGGAGTAGAGTAGAGTAGGCTAAGATATGGTAGGGTAGAGTAGGGTAGAGTATAGTAGAGTATGGTAGGGTAGGGTAGGGTAGGGTAGAGTAGGATAGAGTAG